AAAGCAGGCCAGGGGTTTGGCTCTTACTGACGGAAGTCTATATGTAGCTCCCCCGAAAAACCTGAAACGCAAGGCTGGTCGTTTTGCTGCCATTCAGCTGCGAAAAAGGATCAGAGTCCTAAACGGCTGCGCTACCGAGCATGGGGTGTTCTAGCACCCCCCCCTTCCCCCGTAAAAACAAGGGTAAAAGGGTGCCACCCAGTATGGTGCTATGATGGGGGCTCTGGCTCTGGCCTTAGATGCGGATGGTCTTGTCTTCGGAGGTCACCCACGAAGTCTCGAACCGTGTCAATCACCTCCTTCGCTTTGCAGAGGCGAAGGGTTTAGGAAATTTCAGCTAAAGGGGTAAGAGCTTGGAAACCTTGCTCTGTGCCTTAAAGCAACCTAGAATATGTTACAGATTTTAGGCCATTACGATAGCAGGGGGCTATATCTTGTCGGGTCTGACTGAAGTACTGCGGTGTTGCTGTGTTCAATCATGAAGAATTAATACTGTCAATGAACTTTGTCAAGCTGCAAGCTGGGAAACCCCCTTGCCGCGTTTGTCTGTAAGATTTATTTGTTGGCTAGTTGTGGAATGAGGATCCTAATGCCGATACGAAGATTGACGTCCTGGGAAAAATGGGCCTTGCCAAGAATCTGCGGACATTCCGGGAACAGTCTCCCCTATACCTGCTGACCCTATAAGCCCTAAACCCCCTAAGTCCTAAACCCTATAGCCCCTAATGGCCCAAACTCTGAACCCTAAAAGAGGCCACAGCACAAAATCTGCGGGCAATATCTCCGAAGAACCTATCCGTGGTCTTGGCTGGCAATACCTGTGCAAACAGCATTCCCGCTTATTCCTACTTATATGTGTAAACTGGCAACAGAATGCCCTTACAGTACTTATACGTAACCCCCTTTGCAGTCCTTATATGAACATTGATAACATACTGAACATGCCTGCCAACCTTGTTCTATAATTAGAAAATGGGGGCGGTTCAAGGTGCGGGGCTTGTCTGCAGGGCTTGTCTGGGCTTCCAGGAAAGCTTGCTGTGGACTTCAGAAGAGCGGTGGATGGTGTCAAAAAACCCTCACAATGCCCTGTACAACCACAAACCCTGTATATCCTGCAGAACCCTGTAAACCCCCAATAAGACCCTGCAATACTTCCCTATCTAGCAGCTGGCAACTTCTAAAGCCCCTTAGATGACGGTTCCTCGTCTCCGCTGGCAAGGGCCAGATCCATCACCGTGTGCCCATTCTTGTCCTGCGCGTTCTGGGCCTTTTGGATTGGGGGGTTTTTAACTTCACGGGGCTTTACTGTTTGGGGTGTTTGCGTTTATATGGTTCAGTACTGGATTTCGAGGCTTAACCATTCAGGCACTAGGGTTCAATAAAGGGAGTGTAGGGGCTCAGGGATGAAAGCGCTCAGACCCGGAACATGATAGGTAAATATCCAGATTTCGCCGTTGTGCTGGTAACAAGCGCTCCAGTGTAGCTGAGCTTCTAGGGTCATGTTCAAGCCAAGTTGGAACCACAAGCAGCGGTGCAGGCACGACTCATGATTTCAAAGGATTGCCAGTGGTGTTGAGGCTGGCCACAAGGGGTTCTTTAGAATAACACTACGCGTTCATATTGTACAGGGTTTGTGGAATCCGCCTTATAGGGCTCCCTGTAATTACCCCAAACTGGAGAATCCTAGTTTGCCTGTAATTAAATGGTATGAAGCCGCTTTCATTTTCATGGACAACCAGCTAAATCCAAGCACACGTGGAGCCCCCCAGCCCAACCCGCCAGCCAGCCCTCAGTGGGCAGGGATGGAAGAGTGAAGGGGTGGGGGGCCAATCTTCTACCCAGCGAAATGCAAAGCCAGCAGCGCAGGGGCAGGGCGGAGCAAGGGGAAGCAGCACCTTCATGCGCAAAGTGCAGCAGGATCGTCCGTTTCGTGCCCAAAAACACCCAAAACAGAGAATCGGACTGCGCTTTGCATAGGCTTCCCTTCATGCGCAAAATGCAGCCGGACCGTCCGTTTCGTACACCAAAAACACTTAAACGGAGAATCGGACTGCGCTTTGCCCAGAGGGCATTGCATGTCGGCAGCAGTCTGGCCCATTGAAATCGTGAAGCTTCGAGCAAGTGATAGCAGAGAATCGAGCCAACACACCCTGGCAGAGGCACGCCTAGACCAAGCAAACTACCAGTAAGCTACACAAGATCTGCCCCCTCATAGGGTTGGAAACGCAATAGCTGAAGGCTGAGGGCTGGAGTGGGGCTTTTCCATTTCCGTAATCGTGTCTGACACTTATTCGTTTTGCCTTGGTTCGGCACCGTCCCTGCCACTCCCCTGCCGTGCTGCCTCCCCTTGCCTCACCCTGCCTCTGCCCTGCCCACGGGACATTGCATTTCGGCAGTAGTGTCTGACACTAATTCGTCTTCTGCGCTGCCCATCTCCTTTCCTTGCGGCGACTCCCATCGCTGCTTGCGGGGGAGGGGGAGATTGGACTGAGGGTTAAGACCTTAAACCTAGACCCCATGGATGTAGGATCAACCCCCGGATCGGCAAATCGCAGCAGATCGCCGGAAATCGAGTCGATCAAGTCGGTATCGATAGGGTCGAGTCGGGCAGGGCATGCAGTTTGAATAAGGATACTTAGACAGCCAAAGCGGGTGCTCCTTCAGGAACGGGTTAGCCTTCGCGATGATCAACGCATCCATGATGTCCAGGACGCCCTGGCTTTGGTCGCGGTGTTCATCCTAAAACCCAATGCCTCAACAGTCTGAGTCCCCTTTTATCAATTTGGGTAGTGGGGAAACCGGAGGAGACCCAGATGTGGCAAAGGACAGGCACGCAGGTAAAAGGGGCCTACTCAGCTTTTTCCTATGCTTGTGGCTGAAGTGGGCAGAACCTGAACACCGTGACATTCGTAAACACAAGGTGCGTACACCGAGCAAACTGGCAGGATCGGCTAACACTCCTTGCCTTTGTTGTTAGTGCCCGAACCCCTCAAGGAACCCCACTCTCATATGTTTTCAAGCCCCTTCATGAGAGCCAGAGTTCCGGTGAGCCCTTTTTGTGCTACCTGCGAGAGAGATCTGGCTCTCCCGGCAATCGTTCGTTAGTGTGACCGGGTGCCCACTCAAAAGCAATTCTCCAATGTAAGTACCTCAATAGTGAGAATGGGATGCTATGGTTCAACTATGATCAGGAAACCGAAGGAATAATAAACCCATCACTTAAGCCCGCAATCGCGAACCTCAGCCCTAAACCTGCACTAAGCACCCTCGACATCCGATGTCTCGCTACCGTACTGGTCACAATCAATTGGCCTTCCGGAGTTCTGTGGTTTTGGGACTCTGTTCTGGGCTCATGGCTCCGGCGTCCAGCGTGAAATTCTGAAGAGCTGGAGCAAGAGGGTTGAGGTTATGCAAAGCTGAACTCTACAGGTGTGAGGTGTTCTGAATTTTAGGTATTGCTGTCTCGAGATCGTTGTCGTCCTGGTATACACACTACCCCTTCTCCACTTATGCAGGCGCCTATATTGGATCTTCTGAGGCTTGTAAAGGCCTTGTCAGACCCAAAAACCTAATCCACTGCACCAAAGCCAGGAGTTCACGTTTCGTTGTCTATCCCATCTCGGGGTGGCAAACCGACATATCACTTCGTTGGCTCGAGGCTTTCACAGGGTTTTATACTAAACCTCCAAGGCCCTAAGCTCTGGATCGAAGTGCAATCACCCACAACCTGAACAGAAAACCTTGGACCTCTCCAAAGAAAGGGGCTCGCCATTCCGGGACTCCAACATCTCACCCGGCCACACCCGGACCCCTTTAGGTCGTCGTGCACTCTGGCGCCTTAGGCGCTCGGTCTAACGCTACACTTGCCGGATCAGTCTGGCCAACATCCCAATAAGAACCTGCAGTAAAGGTGGTTTTCTGCGTGTTTGGTATAGTGCGGGGAATAGAAGGGACATGATTAACCTGGGTTGGACATGATTAACATTTGTTTCAGACCTTAGATTACGCCTTGAAGCATACACTCCTTGTTGAACTCTGGGAATCCCTCGCATCTGGAACGCGACCTAAAGAAACTCAAAACCGAAACCATAAAATAAGTATCCAACCGCCAGGCTCGGGTTCAGGGCGAGGGATTCAGCAGTTGGGGGCTTTAGGTTTGGGGTTTGGAGCGGCAGAACCTCGGCTTGCGCAGCGCACGCGCCAGACAGATGCTTGACAGAAAGCCCTAGATGGGAGTTGCAACACACATAGGCTTTAAGGGGGGGATCGGAAGCTGACGCTTGGGGGCTAGGAGCGCGGAAGTTTCAGAAAATGCAAGACCCACATATGCAGGAGGATTCTTAACATATGGGCCTCGGCCACGCCCACAATCCTCGAACGAACGCTCAAGCTAAATCCAATGATGCAACGACCCCTTCCAGACGGGACTCAAGGCGAAAGCTCCTAAACCCAAGCGCATGGTTTGGATTTGTTGGGGAGCTCCAAACCCCTCAACCTGAACCATGAATACGATGCCCATTTAGACCGCAGGACATACTAGGACAATAATTAAAAGGAGCCCCAAGAGACGAGAGACTGGGACTTTCAGAAGAGCTGTATGATTTGTCAGCGTTAGCCCGATTGCAGAGCTTCAGGCTTAAGTCCTCACTTGGGGGCATTCTGAAATCAACTGTCTGTAGTCCGAATCGGCTCAACGGCTAGGCTTCAAGCTGTGTACGGGAATCGAATGAAACCGCAAGTGAACTTCTTCCGTTGAGCCCTTGCGGAAGCCCTCACCAAAGTCCTGATCGAAGGCTTAATGAAGCCCTACATGATAACACGCTCGAAGAAATTTTCGACTCTGCAAGGGGCCCGAAACCTGAAGTCTCACAACATCAGATGCCCAAGCCGGCCAAAATCAATCTTCAAGTAAATACAGAAGGGGATACTGTTACAAACTCTTCTCACTACAGTAAAGGCTCGGCCCCAACCGAAATCAGAAAAGCCTTGCCGACGGAGAGCTACGACATCGGGATGCCTGATTGCATAGTTCAGGCAGTTCGTGGTTTGGGCTGCAGAATCCCTACCGTCTTTTGAAGAACAGTCGTGAAGGAGATTCGGGTTTGGGTTATACTACATTCTTATATCAAGAAACCCTAAAATAGACAAGTCTAATTATTCAGGTCCCTATGGACATTGGAGATTTAGATTTTAGGGCCGTGGAGATGCAGGCGAACTGAAACAGTAACGATAAACAAACAAGACTACCTCGATGGGAAGCTAGTCTACATTGCCGGGCTCCTGGCACGAGAATCTGCAGTGAGGTCCCTGTAACCCGGAAAAAGATCACCGGAATTTCAAGAAACTCCAATCTGCCACCTCTAGACTCTAGACATGTTGAGGATTGGGCAACTGCGGCCCTCAACGCGCACCACACCCTACCAAGAAATAAACCTACACCCTAAACCCAGATATGTGTTGCAAGGTTTCGGGTTCAAGCTGTATAGTCTATGCTCGGGTTTGTGTAAGCCGCTGCCAAGAAGGTAGGTTCCACTAGATGCAAGCACCTACCGAACAAACTATCTACGTCTTGGAAGTTGATCAGTCGGCAGACTAAGCTTTGCAAGGTCTGGTGCTACGGGGAAACCTAATGTTCCAGACCCTGAAGCTAAACGGCAAGCTGATGCCCGCCAGCTTAAACCTGAAGCTTACAACAGGCTCACAAAACCTAAACCCAAACCCCGAAGCCACCCTAAACCCATATAGAATGCTTATACTCACCTTTCTAGAACCTCTACAGTAACCTACTGTTATTAATGACTATAACTGAAAGCTTAAAAGCTTAAACTCCACGCCGGGGCCTTGAACCACCGTCACATTACCTCCCATCGGCACAGCAGCCGGAGGAGGCATACCCTGGCCGGGTGACTCCGTTCCAAGAATGCAGGTTTAGGGTCGACAAGGGTTTAGGGGCCTGGGTGTTTTAGGGGTCTCGGGGTCATTCTGGGGTTTGAGGTTGAGGGCTGTAGGATTCAGGGCTACATCTGCAGGGAGTTGGATTCCGGGCTTCATTGGTTTCCACGTCTGCGGGTGAATCGTGACAGCTTTTTGTCACATGCGCCGGCTTCAAGGTACCGCTGCATGGTTCGTGCCGTCGAAGTTTAATCTCTGAACACTGTGTACATGCACTAGTGAGTTATAAACATAGATACATCGATACATAGATACATAGATAGATAGATAGATAGATAGATAGATAGATACATAGATAGATAGATAAATAGATAGATAGATAGATTGGTAGGTAGGTAGATAGATAGATAGATCGATCGATAGATAGATTCGTATATAGGTAGGTAAGTAGATGGCTAGCTAGAAGATAGATGGACAGAGCGAGAGCGAGCGAGGGAGGAGAGAGAGAGAGAGAGAGAGAGCCAGCAAGCGAGCAAGCGAGCGAGACAAACAAACGGAGAGACAGATAGATAGCCTGTGTGTATGCACATGGATATATACACGCATATGTACTGTGTGGATGCTTTGATGCATGGATGTATGTATGAATGTATGAATGTATTCATGTATGTTTACTTGCTTGGATGTTGCTGTTCTTGTTTGTTTCTCCGTTTGTGTGCGTGTGTGTGTACGCATATATATATATATATGTATATGTATGTACACCTCTCCCCCTGTCTCTCTGTCTCCATACTGACGTCCGGGGACCTCACAACGGCTTGGAAGGGGCCTCAAACGATGAAGAAGAATTGCAGATTCCGGTCTGGTTTCTAGAACCCTCAGGAAACTACTGCTATTACCACTACTGCTACCGCTACAACAACAACAACAACAACAAACAACAAACAACAAACAACAAACAACAAACAACAAACAACAAACAACAAACAACAAACAACAAACAACAAACAACAAAACAACAAAACAACAAAACAAAAACAACAACAAC